CAGTCCGCCAAGGATGACTCCTTGATTGTAGGTCCATCTATTTTGTCAGCTCTCGATCTCGATTGCGGGGATTGTTCCCTACGTGGTCTGTCCATTATTCTGGCAGCTCTCCGTCAGCCCATCGTTGATGGTGTGGTTCGCGTTGATCATCCCGCTGCCTCGGAACCAATCCCACTCGCGTTGAGCCCAGTCAACATAATACTGCTTGTTCGACGCTCGATTCGCGAGATGCGCCGCCAGCGAGAGAAACAGCTCGTTCGCAATGGCGTTGACATAGGTATGCGTGTAGTCCCAGTAGATGCCCCCGCCGCACCTTGACGGCCACACCTTACTCTAAACACTTGTCAGAATTTCTTCTCACGGACAATCGAGCAACCCACCAAGTCGTCAAACACGCCCATCGCGAGATCAAGATACTCCTGTCTACCCGTGACATCATATGCAGCGATCCACGCCAACGCCCACCACGCATCATCGTCGTACGCTCCATCCAACCACTGAGAGACATCTACCCCTGCGCGCCGCCGATCAACCTCCTGCGGACGATGATGCTTAATCGCCCCGGTGTACGTGTCATTCCCCCGTCCCGGCGCGGGATTCGATGTCGGCGCTACCGACCACGTATTCTCAAAGACAGCGACAGCAACGTCCCGCACGGAGTCATCCACCTCCGCCAAGTCAGCAATAACAGTCATACAGTTGGCCCCGTTCCACCAGCCGCAGGTATTCCAGATGCCGCTGGTAGTGTTGTACCATGTCTGGAGCGCGGCAAGGGCCGTCTCCGCGCGGGTTGTAGGCGTTCCGGCCGCGACGGAGGTAGCGAGGAGAAGGAAGCAGAATTCGAAGAGCATTTTGCGTGTGTCATTTTGGATCTCCAGGTGCGGGCCTGTCTTTTATGGCTGGCAAGTCTACCACACGAAATGCAGGTGGTGTATCAGGTGCGCAAAAAGGGGCCGGAATGCACCATGTATACTTGCCAGGGATGGGACATTCTTTCTGAAAAGATATGTGCCATGACGCACAATGATCTGCATGCTCGGCGGAATATAGACTAGAATATAATCTGACTCGTCACGAACCTCGAACTTGATCGACACAGCCGGGACCTGCAGGGGCCATGCAGGTCCGACTGGGATGTGTCATGTCACATTTGTGTGCTAGATTTGAAACCAAACTACGGACCGCGTCGATATTTTTAGTTCACATGCCACTGGTCAATCGTCAATCATATGTATTCTTTTGGGAATGATATAGCCTTAATTATAACCAGCCAACTACCAATCATATATACTATGTATAGCTATAACGATCACCGCCAAGTGTCATTCTCAGTCGCAGTCGACACACCACAGCCCGATGGCACCGTGTACGAGCGGTTGGGGTCACTCTCCCACACGATTGAGCCATCGCTTTCCTTGCGGATGTACTTGTACTGGAAGGTCGTGCCGGCGGGCAGATTGATGGTCACGTACCAGAGGTTATTGCTGGAAGTATACTGGGACGCGCTCAGGGCCACCGCACTGCTGGTATCCCAGTTACCGAGCTGGGAGATGGATCCGACAATGTAGACGTTCTCGCCGTAGGTGGTGGTGGCGATCTCATCAAAGGTGACCGCGACGGAGCTAGGGGTTGTGCAGGCGGTCGTCGTGGTGCTGGTGCTGCTGGTGGTGGTGCCGGAGCCCGTAGTAGTAGTGGTGGCGCCCGCAGAGCCACTGGTCAGCGTGCTGGGCCAGGAGGTGGCCGTTGCGGTGCTGTAGGTGCCGGTGGCAGAGCCCGTGGAGCAAGACGAGGGGACAGTGTTGGCGGAGGATGCGCCCCAGGAAGGAGGCACCACGCCGTTGCGCCGCATGTTGGCGGTTAGGAGAGCGGCGTACGACCAGGTCAGGTCGCGGGCGGAGAGGGAGGTCCCGGAGGACTTGTCGAATTGCTCGGAGAGGGAGCCGTTGTTCATGGCGTGGGTCTCGACGATGCTGACGTAGCCGTCTGCGTAGGTCTTGACCGCGTTGATGATGGTTGTGAAGGTGGAGCTGCCGGAGGCGTAGGTGCCCACGGCGGCGGAGCTGTAGACGTCCTGGAAGAAGGCGAGAGATGTGCTTGTAATCGTAATGGAACCGACCTTCTTCCACTGGTAGATAGCGTCGTAGAGCTGTTCGGCAGCGGCGAGAGTGGTGAGGAACCAGGGGTTGCCGTTGTAGTAGGAATCCTCGGGATAGCGGCCAGCCGAAACAGCAACACCCTGTGCGATGCCGGAGTTGATCGCGTAGACAGAGCGGAACGAGTCGGTGTACACCTTGTGGTTGGCAAGGGCACGAGGAGAACAGGGTTGGAAAGTAGTATCGTCGCAGCCGGCTTCGGGGTCGAAGGTATGGATGCTGGCGAGGACGGTGTTGGCGTCCTTGCCGGAACGGCCACCGCCAGTGTTGGCGTTGATATACGAGCCAGTCCAGAAGTTCTGCATGTAGCAGAGGATCTGAGGGGCCTGCGAGTCACACCACGAGCAGGAGGCTCCCACCCTCTTAGCAAATGTGCTTCCCTCAACGAGGGCACGGTGCTGAACAGCGACGGTGAAGAAGGACATGGAGTTCACCTCCTCCCAGAGATCTGTCAAAGTAAATAAATTGTCAGCAAGGATGCACAGATTTCTAGCAGAGAGTCAGACTCACCATAGCCGGTCTGGCTCCAGTACTGAGCCACATAGGACAAGTCATTGCGCACAATGGGCCAGATGTTGCTGACAGCATAGCTAGAGTAGCCGTTATCCTGTAGATGTCAGCCAACTCGTCTCCTCCTTATTTACAAAGAACATACAATCAGCCAGTTACCAAAGTCGATGAGGGCCGTGGCGCGCAGAGCCGGACCGTCGCGCTGAGGACGACCCCAGGCTCCAGTAAAGGCGGTCATATCGACGTTGAACTTGGGCTCCGCGAGACCTCCGCTCGAAAGACCGCCGGACGGATTAGAAACGGTCTGCAAGTAGGCCTGAGAGTTGACGTATTCTGTGATAACTGTCTGCAGACCCAGGTTGCCGTTCCGGAAGAGATCAACCAAGACCTTCATGGTGAGAGCAGCATCTCTTGTCCAGGTATAGTAGTCTAAAGATGTCAATTTCTGTCGGACAGGACCAGTTCAGGATAGTCACTCACAGTCTGGGCTGCTGGTGCTGGGACTGGCAATAATTATGCCAGACTTTGCGCTCTTCGCGTAAGCACCGTCGGCACCGACGTTGGCGAGAATGCCATTCAGCGAAACGGTAGTCTCAGTAGCCAACCAGGTGTCCAAGCTGCCAGTAGCACGAGGGGACAAACGAGGAGCTGCAATAGCAGCATGCCCGAGAGCCAGCGCACAAAGCGCGTAGGAAAGGCGAGGCATGGCTTGGTGACAGACGGATTCCGCAAGGAAAGGATGAGACGAAAGGAGAGTGAAGGGGATGAGATGAGACTTGTCGTCCTGAATACTGACGCAAGGGGCATCTCTGGGGTGTGATCCCTCTTCTTATAGATTTTTTGACTCTGCATGGCTGGTGATTGTGTGTCTTGAATGTATTTCCGGCGAGTGGATTTCTTGTATCTTCTGCTGGGCTCTTTTCTTAGCATTCTAAGGATTTGATTGGACTGAGGGATGAAGGCAAGACACGGTCTTATTCAATCTAGTTCACAATTTCTGCATATGAGAAACCCCAAGAGCATAAACAACGCCTCAGACGGCATGCAAAGAGAGCCAGGTTCCCCACGGGGTCCATCTGCAACGGCAGGACATGGATGCCGCATGTGATAATGAGGTTGATTCCCTGTAGAGACGGAGATTCCCGTCAATCCCGATAGGCCTGATATCCTGGGGAGACGCTGGATAGCAGCAGCAGGCAACTCCACGGAGATTTAGGCAGTATTCCGCTGCTCCGACTGGTTCTTCTATCCGAAGCTAACGCTGCCGGGCTCATTCATGCCTACCATCCGCCATCCGAGACTCCAATCTCTCCATCAGTACGTATTCACTCCAACTTGGCTTGCGGAGAAAATTTGGGATGTGCAGATTGCAGACTCGTCAGCCGATCGGGAACTCGGTTTACGGAGACGGGGACTGGTAAAGTGGTGAGATCAAGAGCGCATTCAGAACATCCACTATAGCGCCGGACTTGTTGCCAATTCGGATCAAGCCTGAAGGAGCCCAAAAGGCCGTCGATATTAAGATTCCCCGCAATTCCGCCGCCCCCTGCTTCGGTCGGGCATAAGCACTTGATTCTCGGATCTCAGGTCCGTGTCAGATTCTGTCTGATTCTCTTCACCTGTCTGTTAGTCTGATTTGGATGACAAGCGAATTCTTTGACGGATCTATTCTCCGAAGAAATTAGAGTTAGGGCTGCTACATGGTTTCTACATGGCTACGACTAAGTACGGGCAGATTGTCAGGCCCGTCCGTTTAATCACATGTACGAGCCTACGAGGCCGTGTCTAACCTAGTATCCCCTCAAGCGGAATGTGGAGAGACTGCCCACTAACTTTCTTTACTCCTTAGTACACGCTTAGCTGGTGTGGGGATCACCTCGCGTACAATTTCACTGCCGATTCCACGAATCACCCCCTTGCTTCCACACTAAACGTGTAGTATGCACCTTTCACGGATTGCTTGCGTCTCTTCTGCACAACTGCCGAGCTCACTAGTGGATTTTCCGCGGTTTTCGGCTCCTCGTTGTCTTCCTAGAGCCGGACTCACCAACCTATTGCCATGAACGTAGGGCTTTAGATGCGGCTTTGCCAAACTCAATCGGTGCGAGAGTCGAAACAGGCATCGATCCCCTCGGAAGGCAGTCACGGCATTGAAGAAATCAATTTGTCCACGCGCCCGGGAGGATCGTCACTGGTGAATGCACAGGACGGGACATCCGTAGCGTATTAGGAAGGCGTGCAGCACCTACTATCGGTAGCGAGGGTATATAATTCTTGTAACTCTGTTGGGAAATCTTCGTATGGCATGATATCGAGCTGCAGACGCACGTTGCCAGGATGAAGTGGGCCTCGTCACTTCTCCCGCTATCMCTGTCCCTGCTCGGGCAGGCTGCCCATGCTCTGACCCCAGCCGAATGGCGCAGTCAGTCTATCTATTTCCTCCTGACCGATCGCTTTGGCCGACAAGACAATTCCACAACCGCGGCCTGCGATGTCACGCAAAGGGTTTGTGTCCTATCATGCTGGTTTGTGCGCATGCTAACGTTTGCAGCTATATTGCGGCGGTAGTTGGCAGGGCATAATCAATCATGTACGATTGCCCCATATTCTACAGTCAAAACTAACAATGTCAGCTCGACTACATCCAAGGAATGGGATTTACTGCCATCTGGATCACCCCAGTAACTGAGCAGTTCTATGAGGACACCGGCGACGGTACTTCCTACCATGGATACTGGCAGCAGAACATGTGAGCATTGCCTCTCAGTCTGTGATTCATACTAATCAACGAAGCTATGAGGTCAATTCCAACTATGGAACAGCTCAAGATCTCAAAAGCCTGGCCGACGCGCTGCACGCGCGTGGCATGTACCTGATGGTCGACGTGGTCGCCAACCATATGGTAAGCCGGATTTCCTCGTTGTACATTAGGATCTGACCATTTAGGGCTACGACGGAGCGGGCACTTCGGTAGACTACAGTGTCTTCAATCCTTTTAATTCCTCTAGTTACTTCCATCCATACTGTCTCATCTCCGACTACAGCAACCAGACTAATGTAGAGGACTGCTGGCTGGGAGACACCACCGTCTCATTACCCGACCTTAACACGACCGAAACGACAGTGCGAACCATCTGGTACGATTGGGTGAAGGCATTGGTTGCCAACTATTCCAGTCAGTACGCCGCACCTGGGGATAGATGATACTGACAGTGATAGTCGACGGCCTGCGCATTGATACCGTGAAACATGTCGAGAAAGCCTTCTGGCCCGGTTACAATGACGCTGCTGGTGTCTACTGTGTCGGCGAGGTCTTTTCGGGTGATCCAGCGTACACCTGTCCGTACCAGAATTACCTGGACGGTGTTCTCAACTATCCAATGTACGCATAACGATCTCGGCGCGGGTTTCATACTGACTACTGCAGATACTATCAGCTTCTCTACGCGTTTGAATCCACCAGCGGCAGCATCAGCAATCTCTACAACATGATCAGCTCTGTTGCGTCTGACTGCGCGGATCCCACCTTGCTGGGCAACTTTATCGAGAATCATGATAACCCCAGATTTGCTTCGTAGGTCTTCCCTCAGTTTTACGTATGCAATCTAACCTCCTCAGCTATACGAGCGACTATTCGCAAGCCAAGAATGTCATCTCTTTCATATTCTTTTCCGACGGGATCCCCATTGTCTACGCAGGACAGGAACAGCACTACAGCGGTGGGGCAGACCCGGCCAACCGCGAGGCTGTCTGGCTGTCTGGATACTCGACCAGCGCCACGCTGTACAGCTGGATCGCCTCTACCAACAAGATCCGCAAGCTGGCGATCTCCAAAGACTCGGCCTACGTAACCTCCAAGGTATTTATCGTCCTATCTTTGCATTCTACGCTAACATCGATAGAACAATCCATTCTACTACGATTCCAACACTCTCGCTATGCGCAAGGGTTCAACTGCTGGCGCCCAAGTCATCACCGTCCTCAGCAACAAGGGATCCTCGGGCAGTTCCTACTCCCTCTCCCTCAGCGGCACGGGCTACTCCGCCGGCGCCACCCTCGTCGAGATGTACACGTGCACCACTCTCACCGTGGACTCGAGCGGGAATCTCGCCGTGCCAATGGCGTCCGGTTTGCCCCGGGTTCTTGTGCCTTCGTCCTGGGTCAGTGGAAGTGGTCTCTGCGGCGGCTCTGTCTCCACCACCGCAACTACCACCACCAGTGCCACCACGACCACAACAGCGACAACAACGACAGCGTGTACATCCGCCACAGCGCTCCCAATTCTCTTCGAAGAACTCGTCACAACCACCTACGGCGAGAACATTTACCTGACCGGCTCGATCAGCCAACTCAGCAACTGGGCCACGAGTTCTGCGATCGCCCTCTCGGCGGGTAATTACACCTCGTCGAACCCTGAATGGTATGTGACCGTGACCTTGCCTGTTGGCACCTCGTTCCAGTACAAGTTCTTCAAGAAGGAGTCGGATGGGAGCATCACGTGGGAGAGTGATCCGAACCGGTCGTATACGGTGCCGACTGGGTGTGCGGGTACGACCGTGACGGTGTCTGATACGTGGAGATGATTTTCACCTCATCTGGGGCTGGGGCTCCAGGTTACTGGATAGCATGATGATGTACATATGCTGATATGGAATATGTTAATGAGTATATCTGACGGATTGTTCACCCAAAGGGAATGCTACATCGCATGTATCAGTAGATTGATCCTATAAGAGCAAAGAGGTAGTCCACTCATCAGATTGCAACGGTTCTTACACTTCCAGTACAGGTGATCTTTAAGCGATCTTGCTGTATCGAACGGCAAGGGCAGACAGATCATCCATTTGCTCAGAATGACCGTACAATGCTGCCGGGGATCGAACACCGTTTGCGCTGCTCTCTCCTGCTGAGAGGGGAGCGTGTTTCCTAAAAGAGGTATCTTGGGCGACTGTCGTTGGCAAAATGCCTCATATTGAACTGGAGGAAGGGGTTAGGGTTGAATGGGATGGATTGCATGTTGCTACGGCAAGAGACGAAGATAGTGTATGAATATGTTAATTTGTGGTGGTTGCTCTGCGTGTGGTTTTTTGCTGTTATGTATTTATATAGTGAGGCTGTACACTACAAGGCTGTTGCTGTACATCTGGCGAGTCCTACTTACGTTGTGGCACAGCAAAACGTTGGAGAGTGAATGGAAAATTGAGGCTCAGCAGCATATAGGATCAGATGAATATCAGTAGGTTGTGGTGTAGAAATTGACTCGGCTAATCATGGGTTGCTACTGTGTCAACCAGAATATGTCTTTCATTTCTACTATGCCAGAAATGGTCGTCTAGACACCTTTTCGGCGTAGTGGATTTGATTGCTAACAGGTTGTTGAGCCATACCTGTAGATACTGTGGACTGCCTCTGCACCTGGAACAGTGTAAGGCCGTCCCAGATTAGGACATGCTACCTTCCTGCCGTACATAGCCTCTCTTCAACCTCCCCTATTCATGTTAGCCATATTCTCTTCTCTATACATACCGGGTTAGAACCGCTAGATTTAGAGCCCCTGTCAACTGCCGACACGAAGATGAAACGGATTGCCAAGCCCGTTAGCAGACCGCTTATTCATATGATGGTTCTGATTGCTCGCTATAACAAGCCTTCGCTTTAAATAGCCCCTCTACATTGGGATTCTCCCCCCACCTTCCTGATCAGCGGTCGTTGGTGCCAATTAGTGAGAAACTCTGACAGCGGACGGTTGCCGATCTCTTCCCGCTGCCACTCGGAATCCCCTCGGAATGCGCGGGATTGTCCCGCATACTGAAGGGAAGCATATAAACATCTCATCCCTCATAGCTTTCCCATAGCATTCTCTATTGTCCTACATTTTTGACGTCAAAATGTCCACTATCACCGTCACCGGCGCCGCTGGCCGCCAAATTTCCGGTACCTATATCCTCCACGAGAATATTAGATGACACTCTAACGCAGACAGTCCCCACCGGCCTCTTCATCCACAACGAATTCATCCCCTCATCCTCCAACGAGACCCTCGCCGTCGAGAACCCAACAACAGGAAACATCCTCGGCACCATTTCCGCCGCCACCGCCGCCGATGTCGAGCGCGCCGTAACCTCAGCCACCACCGGCTTCCAGACCTGGCGGGCAACCCCCGGCCCGGAGCGCGGCCGGCTCCTCCTTAAGCTCGCCGACCTGATCGAGCGCGATGCCGAGGAGTTCGCCAGTCTCGAGGCCGTTGACGCTGGCATTCTCTACACCGATAGCATGGGGATGAATATCCCCCAGACAATCGCGAACCTGCGGTACTACGCCGGCTGGGCCGACAAGATCGACGGGAAGACCCTTGAGATCCCGGGCGGCGTGGGGTATACCTTCCGCGAGCCGCTGGGCGTATGCGCGGCCATTGTGCCGTGGAATGCCCCTTTGTATGCCTCCTACCTCCCATCCACTTCACAACAGTAACTAATGAGGCAGGATGATCACAATCTGGAAACTCGCCCCGGCTCTAGCCACCGGCAACTCCCTCATCATCAAAACCTCCGAAAACTCCCCTCTGTACGGCCAGAAGCTGGCCCAACTAATCGTAGAAGCCGGCTTCCCCGCCGGCGTCGTCAACATCATCGCTGGCCTGGGCCTCCCCGCAGGCCAAAGCCTAGCCGAGCACCCCTCCATCCGCAAAGTCTCCTTCACAGGCTCCAGCGCCACAGGCCGGAAGATCCTCGCCGCGGCGGCCAAGACTAACCTCAAGAAAGTCTCGCTCGAGCTAGGCGGCAAGGGCCCCTCCATTGTCTTTGACGACTGCGATCTCGACAACGCCCTCCTCTGGACCCGCATCGGAATCACCGCGAACAACGGGCAGATCTGCGCGGCCGGATCGCGCATCTACGTCCAGGATACGATATACGAGAAGTTCCTCGAGGCGTATGTGCGTGCGGCGAGGGAGAACCCCGGTGTGGCTGGTGATCCGCTCGATCCTGCTACCACCAAGGGGCCTATCGTGAACGGCGCCCAGCACCAGAAGATCCTGGGGTATATTGCGCAGGGCAAGGAAGCCGGCGCGCGGCTGCTCTTTGGAGGGGAGAAGGTTGGTGAGAAGGGGTATTTTGTGGAGAATACCGCGTTTGCGGATGTTAAGGAGGATGCGGCCATTATGAAGGAGGAGATTTTTGGGCCGGTGGCAGTTCGTCTTCCTCATTCTATTTTTACATACGGAGATGTGCTAATGCTGTGGTAGAGTATCGCCAAGTTCTCGTCCGAAGACGAGGTCATCCGCAAGGCAAACGACACCCTGCACGGCCTCAGCGCGGCGGTCTTCACCAATGACGTGAACCGCGCGTACCGGGTGAGCAGGGCGCTGGAGTCGGGCCAGGTGACGGTCAACGCGTGGGCCATGCTCAGCGCGAATGCGCCGTTTGGGGGTGTCAAGGAGAGCGGGTTTGGCAGGGATATGGGTGAGGAGGCGCTGGAGGGGTGGACTTCTGTCAAGACGGTCAAGTATATGATTCTGGCTGGAGGTGCGAAGTTGTAATTATCATGCTATATACATATACCTGTATCTACAGACTGATCGGGTGCATCTTGTGAAACACGTTGGTGGGGTCATACTTGGCCTTCAGCTCCTGCAGTCTGCTCAGATTCTCACCGTAGATGTTGTTCACCACCGAGTCACCCGCTAACATCATTAGCATAAACTATTTGTTACAAGAGTGAAGAAGACTTACGCTCGGCGTAGTTGATATACTGCGGCACCCCCTCCTGCACCTTCGCGTCCAACTCCACCTTCCACCGCGCCTGCATCTCCCGCGCCCAAGCCCGGTGCTCCGCGTCCTTGCGCGCATCCGTCCACCGCAGATTGATCAACCCGTTCTGCGTACTGCTGCGGCTCGCAAACGCGGTAGCCTCGCGCGGCACCGCACAGATGGCGCGCATATCGTAGAACTCCAGCAGGAGCGCCGAGGCGGCCAGGTCAGGCTCCGCCTGCAGCCGGGCCGTCAGGTCAGCGAGCATGGTGCGTGCAAACGACGGGGCCAGCGGCGGGTGGAAGAAGACGCCCTTGAAGGACTTGCGGCCGCCGTAGGTGGCCATTGGGTTCTGCAGTGTGTTGAGCTGCGAGTAGGGGATCACGGCGGTGGTGTTGACGACGGGGTCGAGGGCGAGGAGGCCCGCGTACCGCTTCTGGCCTTGCTCCTGGCTGCCGTTGTAGAAGACGATGACGTTGACCATGGGGACGGGGGCGCCGGGGGGCTGGGCGAAGACGCAGATGGCGCCGCCGCGGGGGTCCGGGTTTTCGAGGGTCAGGTTGAGCTGCTCGATGACCTGTTCGACTTTGTCTGGGGTGAAGGCCAGGAGCCCCGCGTAGACGGGGTTGGTCTGCTCGTGGGCCCGGTAGGTGAAGCTGGTCACGACGCCAAAGTTGTACCCGGCGCCGCGGAGGCCCCAGAAGAGGTCTGCGTTTTCCGTCGCGGACGCCGTCACAATCTGCCCGTTGGCCAGGACGACTGTTGCGGACAGCAGATTGTCGATGGTGAGGCCGTACTGGCCGCTGAGCCAGCCATATCCCCCGCCCAGGGTAAGGCCGCCAACGCCTGTATGGTTGACGGTGCCTCCGACGGCGGCCAACCCGTGCTCGGCAGCGGCCTCGTCGACTTCCTTCCAGGTGGCACCTCCGCCGACCGTGACAGTTTTGGCAGCTGGGTCCACGGAGACGGACTTCATCAAGGAGAGGTCAATGACCAGGCCACCGTCGGAGGAGCTGGTGCCCGCGACAGAGTGGCCGCCACCTTTGACAGCGAGGTCGATGTGCTGCTCTTGCGCCCAGAGGAGAGCGGCACGGACATCCTCGGAGCCAGTCGGCATGACCACGATTCCCTGTCGTCAGACCGTCAGAATGATCCGTATCTAAAAGTAAGGGGCATAGGCATACCGCTGGTTTAGAGCCGGTGTCGGACCATCGTTGGAGCGTGTTGTGATAGCCGTCTGAGTCCGGGGTGTAGACCTTGGCCGACCTGAGTTGGTTTTTGAGAGCGGCAATAGCAGATTCGGGAATCATTTCGCCTGTGATAGAGAGAGAATAGTTGATGAGGGTGAAGCTGAAAAAAGTGCGGATGGCAGTTCAAATACCCCGCATCGCCATGGCTGATGCCCACGACGATCAGTAATCAATAAGAGATGGCGCACTCATTTACCAAAAACCGCAAATTCAATTACTCAATTGATATTCTTACATCTACTTGGAGATCTATTAATGGTTTGATGGTAATTCTGCCGCCCATGTCCCTCCTGGCTTTTGCCCATTTGTGTCTGGCGCCTCCACCAGCCTCGAAGGATTCCTCTCTACCGGATATGTATACGGCGCTGCTTCCTGCTGCATCGGTGGAGGATATTCTTGGCCTCCCCCTGGAGCAGCCGGAGGATACATCGACTGAGGTTGTTGTGCAGCGCGACGACGTCGCCGGAACAGAACCCAGATCAACGCCCCGATGAGGATCACGCCAGCTCCCGCGCCAACCCCGATTCCCGCTGCTGCACCCGCCGATAGCCCTGATGAGGGAGAGGCCGTAGAACTTGGCGACGACATAGGCGTACTCGTTCCTGTCGCTGTAGTGGCAGTCGTACTTGTCGCGGTCGAATTCGTCGCAACGCCCAAGTCATACAACGGCCGAGCCAGAGTTACCGTCTCCCCTTTGGTCGCGTTCGGTTGCGTCTTGCACGCCGACGCCATGTTATCCATGAAATTGCCCAGGACCTTGGAACCAGCTTTGCCCCTCAAGCACTCGGAGCAGCCACTCGCGTACGTGGGAAAGGCATTGCTGTTCTGCGTACAGTAGCTGTACAGCGACACGTTGTTGCCCCACCAGAGGGTCTCGAAGACGGGTTTCAGGGGGAGACATTTCGACTCGCAGGGGGAGAGCGAGGTCGAGGCGGGGTCTTCGTAGACGCAGACCTGGATTGTGTATTTCTGGTTGACTATCGATGAAGGTTAATATGGTCTGTGGATGTGAATCAAGGGATAGCGTACAGATGAACCAGTAGACGTCACTGTCGAACTGGGTGGAGTAGGTGGTACTGGTACTTTCGCAAAGGAGACAGTTCTTCATCGCCAGCCCCTTGACCGTGGAATTGTAATCTCCATCGTTGCAGATCAACTCATCGTTGACTGTCTTGGCGGTGCCTCCGCAGATGGACAAGCAGGGCGAATTCACGGTCGCGATGACTGCCAACGCGGGGATTGCTGATAACAGCAGCCCGAGAGCAGCGAGTTTGGCCATATTGATGGATTTTAGGGGATAACCGTATGATGAGGAAATGGGAAGGGAGGCGTAAGATTTATCCATTATTTGAGACACTCGGGCACAGACCAGCTGAGCGGGCTGAAGAGAGTCAGCCACAGCCATGATCCATGCTTAGCTGTGCGACTAGCAGACTAGTTGCTGATATTAAAGCGCTAATCCATGTCTACTGGCCAGTCTGATGTCTTATTTCGATGCTGATCCCGCAAGGCCTCCCGCGTAACCTGCTGGATACTGTCTGATTCGCGGATGCGGAATGGGGGCGCAATCATCCCAATCGAGAAATAATCGCCGTCTTACTGAATAGCAGAGGATACTAATACATTGACTCCTCTATGTCAATACCTGCTTGGAATACTTTTCATACAACTCCGGATACCATTTCTGGCCTACATCCGGATGGCTCAGAATACGATTTCGCAGATGTGCCTCCCCGAACTATCATCGTTAGACCAAGACAACAATACCAGGTAGACCAGGTACTTACGCAAGAGTACAATGGCGACAGAAACTCGCTCGGGACATCCACTGCCCTCTTCTTGCGATCATCTGACGCCGGGATCCGCTGCACAATATGCGCTGCTGACTCTTTGAGCTGGGCCAGGGTGAGATCCAGCCGCACCCCAAGGAAGAAAGGGATACTATATCTGGTCTTTGAGGTTGGTGCCTGTTATTATTAGCTGCTGATATCAATCAAGGATGGATCACAACATACAATAACGCGATGCGTTGTGGCCGTACAGATACCCCCCGTAATAGCTTCAAATCCCTGCTGAATATTCACCACCAGACTCCCCTCGATGGGCGGCGCATCAATCCATTCGCCTTTTTTATTGAGGACCTGCAATCCGCCTGTATCATCCTGCGAGAGAAACGTAAACAGTCCGGCCGAGTCCTTGTGCGGACCGACACCCTGCGACCCCGGCGGAGACTGTGGGTACTTGACGAACTTGAGTCGGTCCATATTCCCCTTGAACGCTTCAAAGGTGGTCGGTGGTAGAGACAGACATTCGGCCACAAGGCGCATGAATGTCTTGGACAACTTGGCCGACTCGGCGATGTACTCCTCCACCAGTTCTCTGGCACCGGGGTAATCGGGGTACTACGTCGTCAGTCATCATATTCAGCGTCCAGGAAGTTAAACATACCTGGCTGTCCCCCTCAAGCCTTTGCCAAATCGGATCATTGGGCGACCACGACTTCATCCCGGGGCTCCCAAAGTCAAATTGCTCCCGCCAGTCGGTTTGTGAGGCCGTTGTCTCCGCGCCCAGCCGGGTATAGCCCACGAACGCGGGGGAATTGATCATGTTGCATTTGTCTTTGACTTCGGACGGTAAGGCAAAGAGATCGGGAAGGGCAGCATGCGCCTTTTTAATAATTGCCTGAATTTAGTCAGTACAGTACACATCATGCGATCATGCGGTGCAGTTGGTGTACCTCCATGCCATGGTTGGTCAGGTACAGGAATCCCACCACGAAGATGGCTTCCCGCAGCTGGGCGAGGGTTTCTTCTTTGGTGGAGGGATCTTGAAGTCGACCAAAGTCGATGATGGGGATGGAGGAGAAATCAGCCATGTTGTGTAGTTGTTTGATGACCCTGATAGCATTGAAGATTGAGAGATCTCAGTGATGAGGGGAAGAAGAGGAGAAGAGAAAGGGAAAGCGGGGTCGGAAAGATTGCCGAGTGGATCGGATCTGATGGCGGAATTAACTGTCCAGATGGCATGATTCTATGACAAATAAGATATAGGACGTTGAAGAATAGGGCTACTTCATTGAGCCATTGTCGGAAACACCTTCTGATTTCGTTTCTCGCTAGTTTCCCTGGATATACAACAACTTCACCATGAAAGACAACATATCCCGTCTGCGGACTGGGCCCAGGGTGCTCGGCTCGACGCCCATGCCATCCTCCCCATGCGCGCTTGTCTGGCGAGAATAACCTTGAAAATTGCTACGATTTTCTGATGCAGTTTAAAGTACTCCCTCATATGTATTGATCCGAGTCGTGTGAGGGTATATTCCCACCCGGCCTCCCACGTACGGCCAATACTACGGCCAATACGGGACGCCAAACAAAGTGCACGACACTTCGCTCCATCCACCAAGGCCGTCGACGCTATACAATATGATTGTCATCTGCGCGGTGCAGTATGTGCTTTCCAAGATGTTGAATGATGCCCTGAAACGAATGAAGTGAGATGAATAGTTTACTCTCTCGTGCGCAGGTTTACACTTGAATCCTAGAAGACTTTATCTTTGTTGCTCTTAGCCAAATTCTACTGCTTCATTCACCAGTGTTTTTCCACCCTTTCTCTCATTCACTGTCACTTCTCTCCATGCTCTCTTCTGATTGCTGTTTACAATATTGCTGTCTTAGGCTTAGCACCGGCGCTTTTTGCATCCATTTACTGGCCCTTTGCTCTCCTACTCTACTGTTATCTCATAATGCTGCTCCATATGCCGTCCTTATTCATTACTCTTTCTCTTTATTTCCTGCATCGTTTCACTACACACTTTTATAAAGTCGTCTTCTGATTGGTCGATATTATAAATTGAGAAAGTTGTATGTTGATGTTTAGTTTCATCAAGCAATAACTTAGGCTTTGGTAACCAATATGAAGGAACAGTTCTTACCTCAAAGGATCCCAGATTTTAAACTCCCAGTCGCCAACTGATGGATCCCTCTTACCGATACCAATCCTCTTTGTGAGTCCCGTTGGTGCTACCCTCCCTTCAAAAATCTCATTGAGATCCTTGATCGGCGTCCGTGCGGCGTCGGGCTCAATCCGGTCCGCGACGAGCTGCTGCAGGCTTAACCGCGCGCGAACTTCCTCGATTTCTTTCGTCCGCGCGGCCACTAATTCCATGATGGTCAGGTAGACGCCGAGTCCGATGAGTAGCCCCATTGAGGCTACGAGGAAGTACAGGGGTGTAGTCGGGACCCGAGTGAGGATGCTGCTGGTACGTTGCTGGACGTAGCGAACAGGCGAGGATTGAAGTGCTCCAGAGACGGTAGACAGTAAGACCTAACTATATGCCAGCGCGAATGCATTAGCCATATCCTGGGTGTTATTTACTAGGAGAGTGCCTAGATTAGCTGCGGCACGCAGCTGGAGATCACCAGACCCTAGCTCTGACTCTGCTAGCACTATAGCTATTATAATAGAATTATTACTAGGACTTATAATAAACTGAGTGATAGTGCTGTTAACTACAGTGTATTAGATATTGTATACAGTAATTTTATAGAAAAACAGATATCCTACGCCACTAAACTCCTGGGCGATGACGCCAGTGTTATTATTCTGGACCAGCCTAAGTGTATTGCCCAAGGCTGGGTCCATGAATCCACCAAAGCTGATGTAGAACAGGTTGTTCAGCGGGGCGTCCATACCGGTGAAGTTCTGGCTACCCGTGGCATCGGTAAAATAATGCTTTGAGAAGAATCTCGGGGTTGCGTTGACAAGCCCCCACCACGCAGTGTACTTTTTGCAGTGGAAATATGAGCCCGATCCGGACGTGATGTTGGCTCGACTGACATCGCAGTCCGCTGTTGCCGAATCGCATTGCGTCGAGGCGGAGAATGTTGTCGCGACAAAGTCACGATGTTGAGTCCGGCCGTTACTGGGTATTCCCAGAAAGGCATGGGTCGGGGCACCCGTGCGGAAACATTAATACTTCTTGTGGCCGAGACGTTGTTGAAGACCTCCAGGGTGGCGATTGGATCTATGAAGTAGCCGTTTCTGATATTGGGGTTCAAGGAGCATGGCTTGTCCCATTGCTCATTGAAGGTATTGTCCTGGCTTGTACAGTTGGAATTGAGAATCTTGCTGTAGGTTGCCATTTCGCTTGGAAGAGGCGACACTTGCGTGAAGTCGGTCGGCTTTGTTTCAAGGTGTAGCCAAGTATCTCCCGTGAAGACCAGAGCTCTGTTGAGATCAACTGGCCCTTAGTATAGTCATTCTCCAAAGCATTCGCGGAGTTTCCCTACCCAAAGATTAAAGAAGCGCAAGCAATCCTCCCAATGGTCATTACCTGTGGAGGAGGCCTCGTCTCCTTGGAACGCTTGCTGAATGCAAATTTGAGCCACCGCCATACTGCCATATAACCCGCATTCTCCACCAAGTCTAGCGTTAAGTAATACTGGAGCGGCGACAACAGCGCATCCGGCAGGCAATCTCTCGTGCTTTTGAGAACCGCCGAAGCCAGAGGATACGCAGCTAATCCGACAGCGAAAGTAGTCAAGAATCCAGCCACTGTACTTGACAGTGATGCGATCTTCATCAGGAATGCTGGATTGATGTTGACGTACAACACGCCATGATCGCTTTGGGCCAGATCCTGGATCAAGGCGCGGCTGACCACATTATTTGTTACCCGGTAGTGGAAGATGAGGAAGAGGAGAACAGCGACGAGGACTGCCAGAGGAAGCGTTAGGATGAGAAACGCCGTGAAAATGTTCGTGTATTTCCCGGTGATTCGACTCGACGTGCTGTGGTTGTCGGTCGCTACCGTGACATAGGCAGAATAAGGAGCCACTTAGGGCCCTGGAGAACACGAAAGAAGTGAGACGGCTTGAGAACATTCATGATTGGCAGTCGGCTGAGTTAAATACGAGCTCTTTCTAATTGCAACCGGTCACTGTGTGGCCTAGTTCAGACAGTCCACAAGCAGCCAACAATATCCAGGCTGCGAGGCATCTTCAAGGACAGCATCAGTTCCCACCTATCACTCTTGAGCAGCTGTTTGGTGGCTATGTTGTTGGGCTGCAGGGTCAAAATTAGTAGCCAATCTCTAGACTGATTTAGCGAGAACGCGTATTAAGGTTCGAACTAAGTGATAGGTCTAGCTTGCTCCCTATCTCCATTTCTTCTGCTGCTTATACGTGAAAATATCATTTATGCGGAGTAAGTTATATCCATTTCAGTTATATTTGGGTTTTCTTCGGGTCTAATCAATTGTCAGAGCAAGATGAGATAGTATAGGATAGTAATCCCTGGAAGTGAGTGAGATAGAGGATCAGTCTTGGATGCAAAGGTTGATTGATTGATTGAAGAATGAATGCCATGGGACAGGTTGAATTTACCCTATCGATGACTAAGGTACACGGTGTTACAGGCCGTGATGCCAAGAATACCAAATTACTACAGGGCAAAAGGGATTGTGGGCCAGTCAGTATAACGCCTGTCTAGCGGGTAAGTTACTGCTCCATGTTTCGACATCAATTAACGACTGCAGCAGCGCTACCCAAGCTGGACTACACCGGTTGTGAACAACATTCAATTTGGGGCAGGACTATAGGGAGGTAGAAACCAGAGGAGTGGTAGCAGGTAGTGAAACCAAGTGTGGGAGAAAAGTTTGCTGTCAGTATACTAACATTAGTGGCCTCGTCGGCACTGATAACTACTTGTAGTCGGCCAAGGCGCTGAGTATGGCTGCAGTATGAGTGGCGTAGGATCGAATCAATCAAACTATCAAATCACACTACGCTCTGGGGCAGAATATTGAGTTTCACCTCAGCTGCAGCTGAAAAACCGAAAGCACGACGAAAATGGACTTGTCCACTCCCTTAAGATAGCACTGTTCCCTTCCAAATCATTGGTAGGGGTTCTTCCTTTTACCAAAATTCTCTAGACCGCCATGGTTCAGAAAAAACGCGTCCGCCAAACAACCACAGCCCTCTTCACACAGCTTCCTACAAACGGGCGAATTCCTTTCAAGCAAGTTCTACAAGCGACTTGGGTTGCAGTGTTTGCTCTCTTTATCGGAATCTGCTTTGTTCTCGCAATCGCCTTCTCCGCAGATGGAAAGCCCACAAGTAGTAATAAGTGGTATGAATACGCTCCGACGTTTGTCGCTTTGGGAGCAGTCGTACTTCGAGGGTCGGTCGCCGCTTTGCTCGGGATTGCGCTTTATCAAAACCTGTGGCAGAATGTTGCCGCGCCGGCCAAGGCTAATGAGGAGCCGCGCCTTGAGACGGGAGGGGAGGGAGGCATCCCGTTAAAGAGCGTTGAGTCGCTGCACTTGTCTTCGCGTTTGGCGGTCGGCATGTTAGCCTATCCGTTGTTCAGGGCTGGCTGGATAATTGGTTTCCTGGGACTTGCCGTAACCTCTGCTGTCCAGCCTGTCCTGCAGTCCGCCATTACAGTCAGGCAAGAGAGGCAGATCGTTCCTATAGGTTTACCGATATATCACCCCCAGTTTAACGGATCGCTTGCCCTAAGCGACGGAGCATCAATGCTTGCAGCGGGTCCGACGACAATATCAAGGAGGTCAGCAGTCGCAGCTCTGATGGGAGAGAAAAGCGGACTTCGTTACACAGATGCCAACGTTACTGGTATTGCAAATTTTGGCCCCGTCAAGTACCTCGATGTTACCTGTAACATTGAAGCTCTCCCTGGAAACAAATCCAATGCAGCCGGCTGGGACTTATACAATTTCACCTACCGATATCCAGACGCGGGTCCGACGTCTGATTTGACCAAATTCCAAGATGTATTCAATACCTCGGTCCTGTATGACGGAGTTAAAATTTGGGTGGATGCCAAATCAAAGGTAGAAGTGCAAGCCGTCATGTTCAACAACACACATTACCTTAGGCACCTATGCATGGTTCAAACCGCGATTGGAAGCTGTGCCACTCCTATTACAGCCGGCATTGGAAGCATGGGCGACCTCACCTGCTTGAGAGGTCAGTTTATTAATGTCGACAGCGATCTCGCTAAGGCCGGTTCATTCTACGGACCGGCTGGTGGAGTGATGTCTCTATTCGGCTCTTTTTTAGAAGTATTTGCCGGAAAAGCGCTGCTCGATATACGTGACAGACTTAACCCTGGTAAATCTCTGTTTATGATGGGAACCATGGTCGCGGATACGGATAAAACGCTCGTCATGCCGTCGGATCTCTTGTCACATATGCAGCGAGTGCTCTGGGTCACGCCTTTGCTCGCAAAATTCGGTACTCCGGAACAAGAAGCACTAAACGTCACAATGTCCGTCTTAGATGAGCGTAACGTAATCGTCTACAAAATTGACAAGCCGCGAATCATCGTCACGGTCGCCGTCCTCCTTATCATCGGTCTCGGGTGTTTGGTCTATCTATCTCTTTGCAGTAGTGGAGCTTGCGGACGTCTTACAAGAGACAGCTTGGTTCATTCCCTCACAGTGGCGGGCCCAAATGGCCCTGCGATCAAGGGGGCGTGCTTGGCTTCTTTGGACGAAATATTGGATAAAGCGGGAGATGAGAAACTCAAGTTTGGTGTGCTTCTAGCGGCAACCGACTCGGTAAGCGGACACCTTGGGTTTGCAGAACAGCCTCTCGCACCGGGATCTCACGAGAGTACACCAGTTACAACTGTTGGAAAACCGATGCCAGGGAGGTGGTATGGGGGTCAGGGTTGCCTCAGAAAAAAGAAACCTCAAGTTGAAGATAGATAAAATGGTAGCTTAGTTCAATTGTCACTGCAGACAAGCTCGAGCTTCCCGAGCGAAACGATCCGAAGGTCTGTGTGTTGCGGCTGGTCAGCAAGTGGCTGTGCAACGAGGCAAATGGAAGATGGATGATGATCCAGAGCTACTCGAAAAAGCAGCAGCAAATAAACTAGCGGAGTCGATGGCAAACATTGTATTGAACGAGGAGAGCACAGCCGGGTTCAAGATGCATACTTTAAGGGAATCAGATGCAAATCAGGTGGTCAAGATTACTATTAAGGAAGGCAACTTCATTGACTTCAATTCCCCATCGGGGGACGCCAGTACAGTTGCCGTCACTCAAGAGCGGATTGCCATGGCTGAGGATGATGTGACTGCTTCGGCTTAAGGATGATGAAGAAGGGTTGTTGCAGGCACAAATAGGACGGCGCTATTGTTGAGGAGGAGCCTTAGGGGCTGTGTCTGTCTACACTCATTTAAATTTGCGGAGATGGATGGATTAAGGTGGAGGGTGTTACTATTCCCAGGAAATTGTTTAGTTTCAACATTGCTGGCTAAAGGAGCAGTGACACTGGTTAACTATATTTAACTCATAAGTTAGTGTTATTTCAACAGGTGCAGCACTGCCCCTCTTTTTACCACTGTTTTACAACTTCTAAGAGAATCAGAGTGCTTATTACATGAAACCTTGACCCTAATATGGGATGCAACCTCAGCCCTGCATCTTATGAGCAGATGCATTCAGGGCAGCTGGAGGTTTTATCTAATCATATTCCTTACCAAAAAAAGGCAGCATGTTCTGCCGCCATCAACTGATGTATATTCGGAATTAGCTTCTTTATTCTTGCTTCCTCGTCTTGGAGACCTGTTTGACTCCGTTAGCCCAACCATGGCTAGTTAACTAACAAGAAATCCACGGCCCTATTCCCTTCCTGGTCGTTTCAGGGCATCAGCGAGCGACAGCGCGCGTCGTCCATCCAGTATAGGATGGTTGTTGTCTGCGCTGTGCAGTATGCGCATTCTGAGATGTTGAATGATATTACCAATGGGACATATGTAGGGTGTGACTGAGAAGGATTCGGTGCCGTTGCTCGCAAAAGAAGGTTGCATTTCCATGTAGAGAGCTTGTTGCCATGTGCTCCTCACTTATCCCTAGCTTGCCTTTTTCAGACTGGTTTTTCCTGGCTTTTAGGGTTCTAGGGCTTGATCTGCATGTTTTCCTCTCCTGATTATTCCATTTACTGCTCTACTGCACTTAGCTTAATATTACACACTATTACATATCACTGCGCGACGCACAGCTGACATACCCCTTGCTGAGGCACATCTTTATTTTGGCGCCAACCCATTGGGAAATAGCAGGTGCTGTTTGGCGGACACTTCCAGGAATTGAATACAAACTCAATAAAATCAAAGGTCTTAAGAAGATAATTAATGTGAATAAACCTTATTTTCCTTCTGCTTGGAGTTTGGTAAGAGTACTGATTTGGATGTATATATGACCTCTTTTGCCTTCTCCATATTTGCTTTTGTCAAAGATACCTACTATATTTGGGGACAAATTATTGGTTGCCGCAATGGCTCAGCACTAAAAACACAACACTACCCCTCTATTTGAGTCATCTCAGCTGACAGTTCGACCTTCCAGCTGGATGGCCCTACACCAAGGTCATCTTTCCAGGGGACCAAGTTAAGCATATGTCAAGTCTTGGATTATCTATAATATGCAAAAATGAGCTTCAGACACGACGACTACACCGTAGCATGGATCTGCGCCTTGCCGTTGGAGATGGCAGCGGCAAAGGCCATGCTGAATAAGGTCCATTCTCCACTGCCCCAGCCAAAAACCGACCATAATGCCTATACACTTGGGAATGTTGCCGGTCACAACGTGGTGGTGGCCTGTCTCCCGTCAGGTGTCTACGGAACCACCTCTGCTGCAACCGTGCTTGCCCACATGTTGTCAACATTTCCGACTCTTCGATTTGCGCTAATGGTGGGCATTGGTGGTGGTGTGCCCAGTAAGAAGGCAGATATTCGCCTTGGTGATGTGGTGGTTAGCATGCCGACTGCTGCCTCTGGGGGCGTGATCCAATATGACTATGGGAAGACACTTCGTCATGGACATTTACAGCTCACTGGATCGCTTAACAAGCCCCCGCAATACCTGCTCACCGCAGTATCTCAAATACGCAGTGAGTACATGGTCAGTGACTCTCACTTCAAGAAAGGTATATCAGAGATGCTTCAGAAGCAACAAATTTCACGGCCAGACCAAGACTGGCTGTTCAACCCGGATTATCACCACGAGAGCAAGTTTACCAACTGTTCAGAATGTGATCAGTCTCAGCTAGTGATTCGTCCAACACGAAAGACTAACGAGCCGGTCATTCACTATGGGCTGATTGCTTCTGGGAATCAAGTCATGAAGGATGCTAAGACACGAGATTCTATGGCCGAAGAATTAGATATCCTCTGCTTTGAAATGGAGGCAGCTGGGTTAATGGATCAGTTGCCATGCCTCGTTATTCGAGGTATCTGCGATTATTGCGACTCCCATAAAAACAAGGAATGGCAAGAGTATTCTGCTCTTACCGCTGCTGCATACACTGCTGCACTACTGGCTGTTGTTCCTAGTACCAAGATTAACGCTCAACCAGACCAAAGTATGTGATTCCGAGGAACTCAGATACAGTGCTAACCATGCCTAGAAACTGAGTTTACTGCCGAAGAGAAAGCATGTTTGCGCGATCTGTTCATTACAGACCCGACAGATGACAGAAAAGCACTCGAACGGAGGAAGGGACATCGTGCCCCTGGTACATGCAGGTGGATATTGGGAACTGACGAACTTAAGAACTGGCTCCAGATTGGTGAAAACGGTGCTCAGAAAGAGTCAAATATATTTTGGCTATACGGAAACCCCGGAACTGGAAAGTCAACCATGGCCATCACATTAACGGAAGAACTTCCAAACCAAGCTGAATTCCTTAGTGGGAAAAAGAGGCTTGCCTACTTTTTCTGCGATTCCGGCTCTGAGCACCAGCGGACTGCAACCTCTATCCTACGGGGGCTTCTTTATCAATTAATCACGCAGCATAAATCTCTGATGAAGTACTTGCTTCCGAAATATACGGAGCAGAAAGCAAAATTATTTACTTCGTTTGATGCATTATGGTCGGTTTTGATGGACATGGGCCAAGATCCCTCTATTTCTGGAACCTACTGTATCATCGATGCTCTAGACGAATGCGAACCAGACGACCAATGGATAATCCTACACGAAATTGACCGAACCTTTAGCAATTCAAAACCACAACATTCCTCGTCAAATGCCATGCATTTCCTGATTACCAGTCGGCCGTATCCTGAGATTCGTCGGTATCTATCGTCTTTTTCTCACAGGGATTTGTCTGCTTACCCTGCAGTCACAACCGACTTGAAAACAATGATTCAGGAGAGGGTTGACCGGTTAAGCAGACAAAACAACTACCCGAGGTCAGTGATGACAGAAATATCACAGATCCTGGAACAGAGGGCAGAAGGGACTTTCTTGTGGGTCGGCATTGCTTGTGATGAATTAGAACGAGTCCAGGCAAGAAAGGCAGTAAAGACGCTACAACACTTACCACAGGGATTATATTCTCTGTATCAGAAGCTATTCGATACAGCTATTACACAGTGCGATGAAGATGACAAACCAGTTATCTTGAAACTTGTGCGCTTTGTTGCGATTGCACGACGTCCATTCACAATACCAGAATTATCCGAAGCCTGCGAGCTATATCCTGATGATGACAAGGCTAGCCGCTTTCTATTTACCAGAGAGTTGATCGATTCGTGTGGTTTCATAATTATTGCTGAGGATCGGAGGGTAAGACTGCTTCATGGATCGGTCAGGGACTTCCTGGTGAAGGATGCAGCACACGTGGACGAACTAAAATCCCATGCCGCACTGGCGGAGCGGTGTATTGCATCTATCATAAGACACTACCGATCACAGGCGAATGGGAAGAGTATACTGCCGAAAACCATCTTTCTGAACTATTCAGTGTCATTTTGGCCGATACATGCGGGACTTGCCAAGGGTGAGTTTATGTTGCAAGCTGAACAGGCAGCATTCTTCCAGCTTGGGTCAAAAGTTTGGACAAAGTGGTTGGACCATTATAACTCACTCTCCCGGAAATGGCCATTAGACGCTGGGTTCTCTATTTTCCATGCGGCGGCAAGATGGGGGATCGATCGTCTGATTTCATGGGGATGTCATGATTTCAAGGACGGAGTTTTGATCGATTGTGATTTCAGGACAATGAATGGTGTGACACCATTGGAGGAAGGCGCACGACATGGGAGGCTTTCCACCGTGGGTACACTACTAAGGCATATGTCAGAGAAAGAGATAATACACCAGAGGGTGGTTGAAGCTGCAGCACGCAATAGCGAGAATGGAAGGGATATCATGAGACTGCTGCTTGAGAAACGCAGAGATCAGATTCAGATCACAGCAGATGTGGTCAGGGCTGCAGCAGGAAATTGGAGCTGTGGAAAAGACGTTATGGCACTTCTCCTTGATCAACAACGAAACCAGGTGCACCTCACTAAGGAGGTGGTAGCCACAATCATTGAGAGGTTTGATAAATCAGTGGTTGCGCTCCTAATTGATCGACACGCAGATCATATCCAGATCACAGAGGACATAGTCAGGGCTGCAGCAGAAAACCGGAGCAGTGGAAAAGACATCATGGCACTCTTCCTTGACCAACAAGGAGACCAGATCCGGATCACTGAAAATGCATTATCCACTATGGTCAGGATGTTCGACGAAACCATGATTACACTTCTGTTAGCTCGGCGAGGAAACCAGACCCAGATTATTCAAAAGGTGATCAGGGCTGCAGCACAGGATTACAAGATGCAAAGAGTATTTGTCATTGATATCCTTAACCGACTTGAGCACCAAACACGCTCCCTCACACGCTCCCTCACCAGGCAAATCCTATCGGTGATTAGAACATTTCACCTTGCATCAGTGACAAAACTGCTACGAGAGAAAGGTGATAAAATTCAAATTACCGAGATGTTTCTAAAAGCTGCAGTAGAAAACCGGAATAGTGGGAAAGGAATTACAAAATTCCTCCTCAGTCAACAGAAGAACCAATTTCAGATCACAGAAGAGTTACTCAGCGCTGCAGCACAAAACCAAAAAGATGGGAAAGATATCATTGCACTCCTACTACATTATCAGGGTGATAATATCCATGTTACAGAAGGAGTGCTCAAGGCTGCCGCAGAGAATACTGGGAACGGGGTCGAAATCATAAAACTTCTGCTAGACCAACCGGGAGGCCATACCCAGATCACAAAGGACGTACTCAAAGCCGCAGCAGGGAACACTACAAATGGGATGGAAATCATCAAATTTCTGCTTGACCAACAGGGGGATCCCGTCCAGGTCACAGAGGACGTACTCAAGGTTGCAGCAGGAAACACTGGGAATGGAACAGAAATTATTACGTTTCTGCTTGACCGAGAGCGGCAGGCCCAGATTACAGAAGAGGTACTCAAGGCTGCAGCAGAAAACGAGTTAATCGGACAATCCATCATGGAGTTATTACTCAGACGACAAGGAGACGTGACGATAACAGAGAGGGTCATTACAGCTGCCGCAGGAAATAGACGGAACGGAAAGAAGGTTCTGGAATTACTATTTGAGAAGCAAGAAGAGCAGATAAAGGTCACCAAGGAGGTGATCAAAGCCGCAGCAGGAAATGAGGGTAGCGGAATTGACATCCTTGCTTTTTTGTTTGACCAAAGTGATGATGACTTTCAGATCGCGGATGGTGTTTTGCTCTCGGCTGCTTCTTCTGGGAACGAAAATGTCCTTGCTTTTCTATCCAGCAAAATGGGGCTCGCGATTGATCCTGGAATGCTATCCATCGCTCGACTCTATAATGCTGCAAAATTAGGCAAGACGGACATTGTGGAGCAGCTACTCTTTCAAGGAACGCCACCAGATACGCGAAACATGCGAGGTGTTACACCTCTCTGGATTGCTGCTTCAAATGGACACCAGGAAGTTGTCAGAGTCCTTCTTCAGTCACATCAAGTTGATGTTAATATTCCAAGCATAGCTGGAAGACCGCCAATATTTTGGGCAGCAGCTGAAGGTCATACTGGAGTAGTTCGCCTACTATTAGAGGCGGGCGCCAACCCTAGAGTGACTGATACTAAGGGGGACTCCCCTTATATTATGGCTCGGAAGCGTGGTCACTGGGACACCGCAGAGCTTCTGGAAGAGCATTTAGATGCTGATGTTCCCCAAGTCTAAGATATTAACAGAACTATAAACATACTTTGTTTACCTCCTTTGAGTCGCAGAATCGTCGAATCTCCCAAATCTCTGCAGGACCAGTCAAGGACCGCACTAGGCAACGATTACACCAGTGAAGAAGATCTGAATCATCCAACGAAGTACAGAGTACGCGCTCTTAGTAGTTGGCGACTCCTAGGGATTAAATCACTCACTGTTCCTGATCGTAGTACCTGTCCTGGCATTGATCATCACTTGCATAACCCCAGCATTCGGGTAGCGAAATGCTCCCATTTTTCCTTCTTCACTTTAGGTTGGTCTACACAGGGAAATTACATCCCATCGGATTCATAGTTCAATTCATTGTCTGGTTGTTTCAGGACCCCAGCGTTCGGCAGCGCGCGTTGTCCAGTTAACAGTCCATATGGCATGGTTTATGACAATCGAGTTTCGTCAATTCAACAGAGTCGATCCTGCATCCGAGAACTTCGCTCCATCCGCCGAGACCGTCAACGCTGTACTGGAATGGGTGTCGTCTGCTCCGTTTTGCTGTATGCGCACGAGGTGTTGGATGATATTACGAATGGGAAGAATGTGGGGTGATGCTCGTAGGGATTCCGTGCCGCCAGGGGTAGGCTTTCTTAGAGTCTGGAGATTGGAATAACTACGAGGGGTTGGTGGGACCAGGTGACGCGCTGGGCGCGCCGAATCACCCCAAGATGAGGAACTTGTAGATGTCGTTTCCATAGCACAGAAATGTAGAGAAATCAACCTAGGTATGTAATTGGCGGAAGGAGTGAAAGAAGTATCAACTATGTACAAGCAGCAATCCATTATCCAATCCATATCCATCTCCGGCTATTCCGTCTGGTCTGAATTAAAAGGTCAGAGTCTGACCGGCCGTTCCAACAACGGCCGCCTTGACCTTGCTGGATCCAACCAGAGAGTACGAGTACGGAACGCTGGTGAGGGTACCCTGCAGGGCGGCGTTCTCAGCGCCTCCAAAGTCATTGTCCTTGGAGACGGCGTAGCCGCTGTCAGTCGAGTAGAGGGGCTTGCTGGAGCCGACGAACTGGTTGGACTCGACGAGGACCTGGGCGCCGTCGCGGGTGTTGATGCCGTCGCTGACGTTCTCGAAGTAGCTGTTGTAGACGTGGCCGGTGCCGAAGCGAAGGGAGGGGGCGCGCGAGTTGATGTTGTACCAGTAGTTGTTGGCGTAGGTGACGCGCAGGTGGCCCTTGTCCTCGTCGCCGTTGTTGTCGGAGTGGCCGACCAGGGACGCCTTCCAGTGGTCGTGGATGTAGCTGTTGGAGACGGTCACGTAGTCGGCGGCGTGGGTGAGCTGAAGTTGTCAGTATATCGTTGCATTTCCGGTTGACTAGCACGTACATCAATCAGACCGTCGTAGTAGTCCTTGTCGTGGTCACGGTCAGAAGAGACATCGACGTGGTCGATCCAGACATTGTTGGAATATTCTGTCATTCGTTAGTCGAGTACATTATCAAAGGAAGGGATACATACGAACGCCAATGGCATCTCCATTGGCAGCCAGAACCTTCTTGACTCCCAGGTTGCGGATGATCACATTGGACTTCTTCTTGACCAGACTGTCCACAGTTAGTCATGTCCGCGTAGTACAAAGGTGTGTACGTACAGGCCGAATCCCTCGAGAACAGCTTTGGAATCCTTGCCGATGATGCTGGTGTTGCTGCCCACCTTGACCTGGTCGGCTGTCTGCTTGATGGCGCCGCTGACATAGACCACCTTCTTGGTGTCGCTGGAGACGGCAGCCGTGAAAGCTGCGTACGAGGAGACGGTGGTCGTGGTACCGCCGGCACCACCGGTGGTGCCTCCGTTCAAGCTGGCGTAACCAAAGGCAGCCTTACCAGTCAGCATTTAATCGCCAATCTCAGCAGAAAAACATACATCGTTGGCGCTAGCACGCTTCTCGAACGAGTTGGTGGTAGCGGTAGGAGCAGCCAGGGCCAGTCCAGACAGACCACCGGCGACAAGAGCCGCAAGGAACTTCATGATTGTTATGTTGAAAGAAAAGCAAGTACCGGACTTGACGAGCGAAGAGAATGAAGTGAAGGAAAGTAAGTGAAGAGAGCGGATAAGAATCAAGACCAAGCCTGTTGAGCCTAGAGAACAAACCTCATCGCAGGCGGCATCAGGGAGCTTTATATACCTGGGAGCCCCTGTATTTCCAAATCGGGCAGTACACCTGTGTATCTCAGACACGCTGCTCAAACTGGAACAACACCCCAGACACCAGTCCTCTTGGCAACCACTCTTGGCGGCCAGTCTTGGCCACGGCACCTATTCTCGAGCGACTGAAGTGGAAGAAGCGTCTCCATAGGTGGACGGACTCCCAACGATCGGCGTCACACGACTCCGGATTCGGCCAGGACGATGGCGTATTGCAGAAAATAATTTCCGTCCGCTGGGACGCACCACATCATGTTTATCCCTGTCAAGCACAGCCGCCAAGCCCATCGGCGGTCGGCATATACGCTGAAAAGCGTCTTATAGCGCCTGATCATCATTGATGCAGAAGCCAAGGCTGGGGATTCAGCGGGGTAGAAGCGTCCGGAGAGCGTCGGAATGACGCTCGATGGCAGCGCACATGATGGAGGTATCCAACATTTGATCGGCAACGGCAAGAGTCAAGGTGTCTCGTAGAATATCCACAAATGACGGAGTCGTGTGTCAAAGCTTGTCCTTGCAGTTCATTGCCAAGAAAGCCGGGGTTTCAGCTGCCGTATTGGCATACGTCGTGATAGGGGGTGCGACTGGCCAAAGTTGACGCTGTGGAGAGATTTTCATGAGAGCAACAGTATTTTCCATCAATTGCTTTGCGATCTCCTGAAAATGAGTGTCTTGACGAATCCGATCGTGACGAGACTGTTGTCCGAGGTCGTTGATCCGGAGAGCTGTATTCCATGACCCATCGTGGTGATCATCGCGAGGAGTCTACGCGACAGGTGGAATTGAGGGCTTTATGGAATAACAAGAATGTCCGAGAATTAATCAATCCGGGGTCAAAGAGCTGATGGCCATATCAGAAGTGTAGAATCGCGCACAGGATGGTGCATGGAATATGGCATCAAGAAGGAACAGGGGCTCTGCCAAGTCAAGCCGGGATCTGGATCCTGACTGTCCTGACTGACTCGTGGAAATTTGATCAAGAGCTATCAATCTTCCGCATAACGTGGATGAGTCTCTCATAATGATACATTACCATTGGAACGCTCTCGTATTCGTATGATCCCAAAAATGCAATCTAATAGACACAACACAAAAAAACAGCCAAATATGACGATGGTAATATCCAAATACGCAGATCCCGCAATACAATGCAATGTGTGCCCAATTGCCCATCCAAGCTCCATAACCATATGCAACGACGATATGCCAAACTCCCATCCGGTCGACAAAACTCCCGTACCAAACCCATCAAGCCCCTCCGCTATAAATGATAATCCTTTTCAAACGAATATAGCGACTCCTGCTCCTCCATCGGCGTCGGAATGCTGACCTTGGTCGCGTCAAACTCCCATGCTGCCTCGCGCGCCTCTTTCGAATTGCGAATATAGAAAGGCAGCGTCCACTCGCGCAGCCGGCCCTCCAACAGACCCATGTCCTTGTGCTTTTCCCACATCCGTCGAGACGACTTGAAAGCTTCGTTGACCGTCTCCCGTCGCAGGTCTTCGTAGGCTTTGAATGCCTCCGTGAGCGGCTCGTCGCGGTATCGAGCCAGGATCCGAGAAAACACAATCGCGTCGTCGAGCGCATATGCCGCTGATTCATCGCGCGGCGGCATCTATACCAGAATTAGCTGAGCACACCCCTGAGCCAAGATAACATACCGCATGTGCTGCATCTCCCAGCAAGATCGCTCGCTGGGTATGCCACCGCCCTCCAGGCCGAACCTGGTACACTGGGTACAACATCCAGTCCGCCGGGGTATGGATCATCTCGCGGATGCACGGGATCCCAGACTTCCCGAATCGATCCTGCATCTCCTCCTGCAGGGCTTTCCGGATGGCATGCTGCTTCCGCCAGTCCTGGCCGGCTTCGATCCGGTACCGCGGGAGCAACTCCTCGGCGAATTGCACAATGGCCGCGAGGAAAATCTGCTCCTGCTCGCGGTCGCAGTAGCTCGCCAGCAACGTTCCATGCCGGGAGATGTTCATGGATGTCGAGCGGAAGTGGGTGCGGGACTTGAGCGTCTTCGCATCAACGACGCCCTGCAGGAACGAGATCCCCGTGTACTCGGACGGAGACTCGGGTGCGACCCATTGCGTCCGTGTGGCTGAGTGCACGCCATCACATCCCAGGACCAGATCTGCCACTGCCGTCGTGCCGTCCTGGAAGTACAGGATGGCTTCTTCGGCGGTCTCTTCGCCCTTGACCAGTTTCTTGCCGAAGACAATCTCAATGTTCCGGGTGCGCTCGACGACCGCCAGCATTGCTACGGAGAGGATAATCCGCATCACCCGTCGGCCCTTGTATCCATTGTACCCCTGGCCATGTTTATGGGTAAAGTCGATCGATCCCAGCGACTTTCCCGACCGGCAGGAAAAGAACTGAATAGCGTCGACGTCGGCTCCGCCTTCGACTCCCAACCGGTCAAGTTCTGCAAGCACTCCGAGCTGGTCGAGGTGACGCTGGGCGACGGGAGTGAGGTTGATGGCACCTCCAGAAGTGGAGAGGATGTCATGGCGTTCAAAGACGGTGATCTTCAGGTCCGGAACGTATGGGGTCAGCTCCTTCGAGATGGCCAGAGCACTAGCGATGCCCGCAATGCCGGCCCCAACAATCAGAATCCTTTGAGGCATGGTGTGATGAGAATATGGTATCGTACGACCGGATTGTCAGAATCACACTTTAGCACATGGAAGGGGAAAAATAAAAAAATGAAACAAGACCCTCTAAGCGGGGCTGCCGTGATTTTCATATCCCGATTGCCAACTGACAACCGGACTAGCGAATGTCAGATATTTGTTAAGAAATAA